GGCCGTCGTCAGATTTTGGCGCCGTTGCCGGGGATTAACGATTTTGTTGGAATTAAACTCTCACACATTCTATATATAAAGCAAATTTCCAAACTACATAATTAAAATTCTCATTTAACTATAACTTTGCATAACAAGCATTAACAAGCATATAAGACATGGAATCAACCTCATGTACGCATGTTTAAACACTATAAAACAACTAACAATTAGTCACATATATTCCATAACTATCATTTAAACCATTTGCAAGAACTTAAACTAATTAAACATGCAATTCAACAATTTATAAAGAATTAACTCACAAATGGCATAAGAACTCATGTATTAGAACACCCCTACCTCAATGGAGATGAAAACCCTCAAAACTCCAAACCAAAGCCCTAATTTTCGAAATTCCTAAGATGGCCAAAAGTGTGAATTGCTCCTATCCAAGCGTAGGTCTCAACAAGCTCTTTGATTTGCCGCAAACGGCGCCCAAAATTTCCAAGAGATGAAAAAGTAATTGAAGATTGAAGCTTGAAGCCAAAAAGAAAAGAAAAATGAAGAGGAAAGAGGGAGAGAGAGCTAGTGCCGGGTGAGAGAAGGAGAATGAGGCCAATGTTGGTCTCTAAATCACAAAAATATCTAGTGGTGGGTCCCACTACAAAATTTCCTTTTTGACTTTTCTTTTTTCTTTTTATTTCCCACTCACACATATATATGCATATATCTATACAAAATAGCACACAACCACATTAAATATGCACAAAATAGTTACATATGGTATGCAATGAACCCAAGATAAAATTCCTGTACACAACAACTCCGGTAGCGGGTCCAACCCGGGACTATCCAACCCGAAAAACGGAGAAAAGTCGAGATGACAATCGATGCATTTCCAAGAGTCCTGAACTCAGGGAAATGTCCCACCTAACTCTCGCAAACACAGTCGGCATGCCCCATGATGTCTGACACGTAAAACGAGAAAGAGAATAAAATACCCCCGAAAATTAGAAAATTCCAAATTTTGGAAAATGACATAATTCAGGAATATTACAATCTCCCCAACTTAAAAGGATTTCATCCCTGAAATCAAGCCATACCTGAGGGAGAAAACAACTCTGGATACTTGGAGTGAACCTCCTGTTCAAGCTCCCAAGTAGCCTCCTCAACCCCATGATGCCTCTAGAGAACCTTCACTAATGGTATCGTTTTGTCCCTTAATATTTTCTGCCGTGTGTCAAGGATCTGAACTGGTCCTTTATCGTAAGAAACATCCTTATTAATGTCCACATCAACCCAATCAAGAATATGGGATGGATCTGGTTCGTATTTTCGTAACATCGATACGTGAAAGACATTGTGGACTCTATCCAACTGTGGTGGCAATGCAAGCCTATAGGCAACCTCTCCTACCCTGTCTAAGATCTCAAATGGTCTAATAAATCATGGTGATAACTTGCCACTCTTTCTGAACCGCATCGACCCCTTCCGTGGAGAAACCCGAAGAAAAACGTGGTCTCCCACCTCAAAGGATAGCGACCGTTTCCGTTTATCCACATAACTCTTTTGTCGACTCTGAGCCGTGAGTAGCCTCTGTCTAATTAACTTAATCTTTTCTGCAGTCATGAGTATGATGTCGGGGCCTAAGGTGGCTGTCTCGCCCACCTCAGTCCAACAAACAGGAGACTTGCAAGGCCTGCCGTACAACGCTTCAAATGGAGCCATCTGAATGCTCGCTTGATAACTATTGTTGTAGGCAAACTCAATGAGCAGAAGGTGGTCCTCCCAACTACCTCCCAAATCAAGAGCACAGGCCCGAATAATATCCTCTAAGATCTAGATGGTGCGTTCTGATTGGCCCTCCGTCTGCGGATGGAATGTCGTACTGAAGTGCAACGATGAACTAAACGCTGCTTGAAGTCCTTCCCAGAATTTCGAGGTGAACTTGGCATCCCTATCCGACACAATAGCCATTGGAACTCCATGCAATCTCACAATCTTTTTCACATAAAGTGCATCAAGTGCCTCCGCATCATCTGTTACTTTAATAGGCAAAAAGTGAGACGTCTTGGTCAATCTGTCAATAATTACCCATACGGCTTCGTTTCTATGCTGTGACCTAGGAAGACCTATTACAAAATCCATTGCAATCTCCTTCCATTTCCATTGCGCTACCGGCAATGGCTGCAACAAACCCGCTGGTCTCTGGTGCTCAGCTTTCACCTGCTGACAGGTAAGGCATTTGGCTACAAACTGTGCAATATCTCTCTTCATCCCACTCCACCAATATTGTTTTCTCAAATTATGATACATCTTGGTACCACCTGGATGAACTGCAAAACGGGAAGTATGAATTTTCCATAAGATGTCCTCACGGCAAACTGTGGGAACGACCAACAAACCCCTGAACCATAGACCACCATCTACATATAGGGTCCAATCTTTCACTGTCTCCCTACTGGAGATCAAAGTATGAATGGCATCCAAATCCAGATCTTGTCTCTGCGACCCAATCACTCGTTCGACAAGAGTAGGCTGAGCCACAAGACTAAACAAGAATGTTGATTCACTGCAAACATCGTCGTCAAGGCAACGTAATCCCATCTCTGCCAAATCCTCAAGCATCTTCCATTTCCGAATGGCTAATCCAGCCAAAGTCCCACAAGATTTCCGGCTTAAGGCATCAGCTACCACATTAGCCTTGCCCGAATGGTACTGCAAGTCAAAGTTGTAGTCTTCTAAGAATTCAACCCATCGCATTTGTCTGTTATTCAAGTCCTTTTGGGAGAAAAGGTACTTGAGACTTTTATGGTCCGAGAAAACATCAAATCTCTCACCATACAAATAATGTCTCCAACACTTCAAAGCAAAGACGACTGCCGCTAACTCCAGGTCATGAGTAGGGTAGTTAAGCTCGTGAGTTTTCAACTGTTGAGATCCATAAGCCACTACTCTACTATCCTGCATCAGTACATAACCCAATCCATCACGTGTTGCATCGCAATAAATCACATAACCCAAGCCACGCTCGGGTATCACCAACACTGGAACCGTGGTCAACCTTGTCTTCAACTCCTAAAAGGAAGACTCACAGGCTGCATTCCATGCAAACTTAATCCCTTTCTGGGTCAATCTGGTCATAGGAGCTGCCAAACGGGAAAAATCCTTCACAAATCTTCGATAGTAACCTGCTAGACCAAGGAAACTTTGGGTCTCAAAGACATTTTTAGGTTGCTCCCAATTTAAAACTGCTTCGATCTTCGATGGATCAACTAACACTCCACCTTTTGAGACAACATGTCCCAAAAACTTCACCTCTTATAGCCAAAACTCACACTTTTCATATTTGGCATACAAATGGTGCTCCCATAGAATCTGCAACATAGTACTCAAATAGACCTCATGCTCCTCCCGAGTTCATGAATATACAAGGATGTCATCCACGAAAACTACCACAAACTGGTCCAAGTAATCGTGGAAGACGCGGTTCATTAAGTCCATAAATGCCGCTGGCGCATTAGTCAAGCCAAATGGCATAACAAGGAACTCGTAGTGTCCATACCGCATACGGAACGCTGTTTTCAAGATATCTTCATCCCTCACTCACAATTAATAATAGCCAGACCTCAAGTCAATCTTTGAGAAACAGCTGGCTCCTCTCAACTGATCAAATAAATCATCTATCCTTAGCAAAGGATACTTGTTTTTTATGGTGGCATGATTCAACTTCCGGTAATCAATGTACAACCTCAAAGAACCATCCTTCTTCTTTGCAAATAAAACCGGTGCACCCCACGGTGACACACTAGGTCGGATGAAACCTTTCACTCTCAAATCATTAAGTTGTTTCTTCAATTCTTCTAATTCAATTGGCACCATACGATACGGTGCCATAGAGATTGGCGCGGTACCAGGCATTAAATCAATAGCAAACTCCACCCGGTGTGGAGGCAATTCAGTCAAGTCCTCCGGAAACACATCCAGAAAGTCACGTACAACCGCTGGATAATCGACCCCACCAAACTCAACATCGTCATCAACGAAAAGACTAGCCAAAAAGAATGTCTGCCGATCCTGACCCCTAACACCATAGAATGAATGAGTAAGGGGATCACACCGATCTCCCACAAAACAGAAACAATCCCCATCCGGGGTACACACTGACACTCTGCCCCTGAAACAATCAATAACGGCTCTAAAAGATGACAACCAATCCATCCCAAGAATGACATCAAACCCTTTCATCTCGAGAAGGGTAAAATTAAACTCAAGAATCCGTCCGGCATTGATAATAGAACAATTCCTACAAACTCTACCAAGAGTGACTGAACCCCCAATGGGCGTGTCAACGCAAAGTGGTCTATCTAACTGACTGACCTCCAAACCCAATGCCGTGCAAATGATGAAGCAATAAATGAATATGAAGCACTAGAATCAAATAACATTCGAGCCCAAGAATGGAACACAAGGAATATACCCTTGACAACTGGAGGACTGGATGATGGCTCGACTGGAGTAAGTGCAAAGACACGACCCTGAGTCCTCTGCCCCTGTGAACTGCCTGTCTAATAACCAGACTACTGAGTGGGTGCACTTGAAGAAGCTCCCCTACCCGGTCGAGAACTCTGGGTTGATACGGCTGGCTGAGACGGCTGAGGTGGTGGTGGCGGTCGAAACCCTGACTGAACTATGGTAGACTGCATCAGCCTCTGCTGTGAACCTCTACCTCTGCCCAAACCACTACCTCGCTGTGGACAATCTTTCACCCTATGGCCCTACTGGCCACACCCAAAACATCCACCAAATGCCACCTGAATCTGAGTACACTTAGATTTGTGGTGCCCTGACTACTCACACTCGAAACAAACTATCTGAGATACCTGGGTCTAAATGCACTGGGATTTGAAATGCCCTGGCTGTCCACATCTGAAACAAGTGACACTAGGTCTAGAAGACCCCATAGACACGGAAACTGTGGGTGTGGATTTGGCTGACTGTTGTCCCCTGAACCATGACTACTCATACTTCTGCTTCTTACTTGATTGACCCTCGGAGAAAGCACCCATACTCCTGTTGTGCTTATAAGACTCTCTGATAGCTTTGCTATCCTTGCTTTCAGCTTCAACCACTAAGGCCTTCCGCACTGCCTTCGTATAATCTGTCGGTTCTGAAGCGGCCGTAATTGGCCTGATGGTAAGATCGAGGCCATTAACAAACTTCTCTATTTTTCCTTCCTCATCATTGGCAATCCCCGGTGCAAACCTCAAAAGCGATGTGAACTTATTTTCATATTCAGTGACTGTCATGTTCCCTTGCCTCAACCCATCAAACTCTTTCTTTAACTCTCTCCGCTTGGGTGTCGGAAAATACTTTTCATAGTACAACTTCTTGAACGTGTCATATGTTATGGTGTCCAAATTATGGGTGTGAGAAACAGTCTTCCACCAAATCTCAGCATCCCCAACAAAGTTATAAGTTGCTAATATAATCTTCAACTTATCCGTCGCCAAATTCATGGCGTTGATATGTTTTTCCACCCTATCCATGAAACTATCCGCAACAAGTGAATCTGGACTGCCCTCAAACAAGGTTGGCATCAACTTCATGAACTTGGCAATGTGATAAAGAGTATCATCCAACTCATTTGTCTTTGGAGGTGGTGGTGGTGGTGGTCGTGGTGCTAGTGGTGGCACAAACTGTGACGATGATGCTTTTGCCGGCCGAAATGCTTTAAAAAGAGCTGCCTAAACGGTCAACTACAACTGTTCCTCATTCATCTGAAAAGGTGGGTCAACGATCTCCCTCGCTTGTCCCCCTCTTGGTCACGTAACAATATATCGTCTTCAACTTGCTCCTGATCCCTTTCTACGGGATTGGAGCTAGAACTTTCCCCGGGATCCCTTCTTGGTGGCATGACGCTATAAAATGAGAAAATGGATCAAAACAATGACACTTACACGTGTACAAGAACGGAGTCCTCACATAATTGACTCGATAAGGAATGACAACACTTAAACACTTTCCATACTCCCTGAAAAGAAATCCCACCAATGATAAGCATGATCATGCCAATAATACACAACAACGTTAAGCACTTGGCACGTAATTATATAAGCAGTTAAACAATTAAGCCTATCTTTCAAATGATTAAACACCTTAACACATAAATATATAGGCATGCAATCACATAAGCAATTAAGCAAGTAACAAATACTTAACTCTCCATGCAAATCTAAGGTAGGCCTCTACCCGTCGTCCAAATAGTATTCGAACCATCGCACTGATACCAAATTTGTAACGACCCAAATCCACTGGGTCCAGATCGTTAAACGGATCTTTATCCGACCCAAAATCATCCAAGGGTAATATGGTCCTTTCACGTTAAATTTGTATATTAAAACCCAACAAGGGCAAAATGGTCATTTGCCACGAGTCTAATAGTATAAGATTCAAAGGGCATAATGGTCACTTACTTATGTCACTTAGTAAATATGATAGAGTTTGGGGCAATATAGTCTTTTCTATGGTTAAAATATAATTATTGCATTTTACTGAGTCTTATAATGTGTAACAATATATTTGAGTAGGTGGTCAAGGGCAAAATGGGAAAATAAGTCACAAATGTTTACTACACAGAACTGGTCGATGTATGGGGATCACACGTCGACTGGTTTGGGACATGCACAGTAGAAAACCCACTGCCAAGATACCGGTCGACGTGTGAGAAGCTACATGTCGACTGGTTCTGGTTTGGGACGTATATAGTAAAAAGGCTACTGCCAAGATACCGGTCGACGTATGGGAATTTTACGTCCTGGTTCTGGGTTATCCACACTTGAAATTTTCATTATCCGAGATACACCAACATTGATAACCAACCACCCTACCCTACACACCATACATACGTACGTATTTGAATACATTTTAACATCTAATACCTTAACAACAACAACAATATTAATATAATTTACAACACGTTACACGAAATACACTAAAAGATTTAGTGCAAATAAGCATAATTACAATTCCCCAATGGCCATATACAAAATGAAACTAGATACTTCATAAGTTACAAAATGATACACTTTGGGTCAACACTTTACAAAATGGGGCCTAATACAAAAGGTAGTAAAAGATACATTCTTGTAATACAAACTAAGACGGTGGTGGATTGTCGCCTGCCATTTCTTTTCCCGAACCTAAAAATGTTAAAAAAAAATATGGGGTAAGCTAAATGCTCAGTAGGAAGTGTCTACGACACACTTCTTGTGACCTCGTGAATCCACGTAAGGAATAGGTAAAAGAAAACGGGATCATTGCATAGAGGTACATGGCAATAACTACAGCGACAAGTAAATAAAAATTGTCACCCAAACACATACACACCATATATTCTAATGAAGTGCAATGTCGTGCAATGTCACTCCCCATATCCGAAACATTTCCGTTTCAACTTTTAAACCGTTAGTGTAATCCGACCTAAGGCACCTCTAAGGCGTCACAAAAGGAAGATTGGCTAACCATCCACGACCACAAGGCACATCCAAGGCGTCGCATCCGGCCTGGTTAGCTCAACCATAATCCCCTCTAGATTACACTAACACCACGGACCACTAGGCGCCTCGTAGGCGTCCGGGTTTTCACAAACACTTTTAGAAAACTTTTCCCAAAATAATTTCACTTGTTTTAAAGACATTTTTCCCTTTTTCTATCCCAATGAATGCATGGAATGTTTTATACTTCAATTCAACAATTCTACCATAAAACTCTCACACATGCTATATATAAAGCAAATTTCCAAAATACATAATTAAAATTCTCATTTAACTATAACATTGCATAACAAGCATTAACAAGCATATAAGACATGGAATCAGCCTCATGTAAGCATGTTTAAACACTATAAAACAACTAACAATTAGTCACATATATTCCATATCTATCATTTAAACCATTTGCAAGAACTTAAACTAATTAAACATGCAATTCAACAATTTATAAAGAATTAACTCACAAATGGCATACGAACTCATGTATTAGAACACCCCTACTTTAATGGAAATGAAAACCCCCAAAATTCCAAACCAAAGCCCTAATTTTCAAAATTCCTAAGATGGCCAAAAGTGTGAATTGCTCCTATCAAAGCGTAGGTCTTAACAAGCTCTTTGATTTGCCGCAAACGGCGCCCAAAATTTCCAAGAGATGAAAAAGTAATTGAAGATTGAAGCTTGAAGCCAAAAAGAAAAGAAAAATGAAGAGGAAAGAGGGAGAGAGAGCTAGTGCCGGGTGAGAGAAGGAGAATGAGGCCAATGTTGGTCTCTAAATCACAAAAATATCTAGTGGTGGGTCCCACTACAAAATTTCCTTTTTAACTTTTCTTTTTCCTTCTATTTCCCACTACACACATATATATGCATATATCTATACAAAATAGCACACAACCACATTAAATATGCACAAAATAGTTACGTATGGTATGCAATGAACCCAAGATAAAATTCCTCTACACAATGACTCCGGTAGCAGGTCCCACCCTGGACTATCCGACCCGAAAAATGGAGAAAAGTCGAGATGACAACCGATGCATTTCCAAGAGTCCTGAACTCAGGGAAATGTCCCACCTAACTCTCGAACCAAGCCGGCATGCCCCATGATGTTCGGCACGTAAAACGAGAAAGAGAATAAAATACCCCCGAAAATCATAAAATTCCAAAATTTGGAAAATGACAAAATTCAGGAACATTACAAAATCAGTAGCATTGAAGAATGCTCCTGAAAATCTCAATTTAACCTCACCTGATATATATTCAAAAAGACATTTTGAATGTCGCTGCCATTGAAACTATTAATGTTATTATTAGTGATATTGGAGATGAACTATTTTCTATCATGATTGATGAATCTCGTGACATATTATCAAAGGAACAAGTGGTTGTTGTATTTCGTTATGTGGATATGGATGGTGATGTAATTGAACATTTTATAGGTGTGGAACATGTTACAAGTACCATTGCTCTTTCACTTAAGATGGCAATTGATGAACTATTTTGTAGGCATGGATTGAGTATAATTAACTAGATTGCGCAGACAAGGATATGATGGAGCTAGTAATATGCAAGGCGAGTTTAATGGTCTTAAAACACTAATTTTAAAGGAAAATGAATGTGTTTTTTATGTCCATTGTTTTGCTCATTAACTACAGTTGGCTCTTGTAAAAGTTACAAAAAGTCATATTGATATCACTACTTTTTTTAGCTTTGTTGCTAATGTCAATGTTGTTGGGGCTTTATGTAAACGTCGTGATATTCTTCATGAAAAACAAACTACCATGGTTATTGAAGCACTCAATAATGGTGAAATTGAAAGTGGACGGGGTCTTAATCAGAATACATACTACTTTGAAACGTGATAGTGATTCATGTCGGCGCTCTTACTATAATACTTTAATCAGCTTGATTTCCATGTACTCATCTGTTATTGATGTGCTTGAGATAATTAGAGATGATGGATCATATGTTGAACAGATATTTGAAGCAAAAATTTTATTGACACTTATGCAGTCATTTAGTTTTGTCTTTACTTGGGCTACATTGGGAGTTACAAATGAATTGTCAAAGGCGCTGTAAAAGAAAAATCAAGACATTGTAAATGCTATGTCCTTGATTAAAGTATGCAAGAAACTACTTCAAATGATGAGAGAGAATGGTTGGGATTCTTTACTCGATCAAGTTTCTTCTTTTTGTAAAAAAAAAAACATAATATTGAAGTTCCCAATATGAATGATACACTTGTAACTCTAGAGCGATCACGACGTAAAGCTAATGAAATCACAAATTTGCATTCCTATCGTGTGGAATTGTTCTATGTTGTGTTGGACATGCAACTTCAAGAACTAAATAGTCGTTTCAATGAGTCAAACATTGAGTTGCTTATTTGCATATCGTGTTTGTGTCTAGATGATTCATTCGCTGCTTTTGATAAGGAAAAATTAATCCGACTTGCTGAATTTTATCTAATAGATTTTGCTCCGTTAGACCTCCTGAAACTTGGTGATCAACTTAACACCTATATTATTGATATGTGCTCTAACAAGGAGTTTTTAAATTTTAAAGGAATTGGTGATCTTACTCGAAGAATGGTTAAGACAAAAAGAGACAAGGCTTATCCATTAGTTTACTTGCTTTTGAAATTGGCATTGATTTTGCCGGTTGCTACTCCCACAGTGGAGAGGGCTTTTTCTGCCATGAATATTTTGAAAACTCGATTGCGCAATCGAATGGAAGATCAATGGATGAATGATATGATGGTTGTGTATATTGAGAGAGACATATTTAGTACTGTTGGGAATGATGTTATTATTCAACGCTTGTAGAATATGAAAAATTGTCAAGGGTAGTTGTGAATGTACTAAATAAAAGTATTATAAATCAATATTTTAATTTTTACATATATTATTTTGGTTCAAATTATATATATATATATATATATATATATATATACATGGGCAAAGTATAGAAAACTCCCTCCACTTGTAACATTTTCCAGTACCCCCTCTTGTCTATGTTTTTTACCAAAAAACTCCCCTTGACTTGTAACATTTTTCCAATAAATCCCTCTTATCTAATTTTTTTACCAAATAACCCCTTTCAACTATCTAAAGTGGGTAAAAGAGTTGATATTTGGACCAAAATGCCATTTTATCTAAATCTTAATTCTCTCAAATTTCAAAAATTCATATCTCACAAACCATACATTTAAAAATTATAAATAATATATGCACGGAAAGCTTATGAAATAAAGATTCCAAAAATATAAGAATTGTATAATAAACCTTCATAACCAGAGAAAAATAGGCAATCTAAAATCTACTCTAACAATTTTATTTTATTTTTCAAAAAATAAAATACTCATGAT